GCAGTACCATAAGACAGATCGCAGTGTGTGTCGTAAAAAAACAAAGTTTATGACACAATCCCCTGCAGATACTAGTATTTAAAACCTCCCATCCAGGGCTCATGAGACAAGGAGAGAAGCCATGCAAAACACGGACAAGAAAGAGCGCTATTTAAATAATCGTCTCAAAAACACTTCCCTCCGCAGCAGTGACGGTTAAAACTAGCGTGTGTGTTTTCTCTATAAGGGACACTCACATATACATATTTCAGAAAAATATCCCGGTCTGAATGCTTCCACAGGGCATATCCCCAAACTGTTTCTGGACCCCTGTTTTACTGCCAGCAAGTCACAGCTCAAGGCCAGCACTGATGTGTGGTGTGTATGTGGGGTGTGTGTGTGTGTGTGTTTATCTAGTCACAGTCCAAGGCCAGCACTGATGTGTGGTGTGTGTGTGTGTGTGTGGTTGGTGTTTATCCAGTCACAGTCCAAGGCCAGTGTTGATGTGTAGTGTGTGTGTGGTGTGCATGTATCTAGTCACAGCCGAATGCCAGCGTTGTGTGTGTGTGTGTGTGTGTGTGTGTGTGTAATGAACAGCGGGGAATAGTACTGTAGGAATATTTGTGTCTATTGCTACCAGATTACAAAATCAATCATTGTTCACTTCTGCTCCACGTGCACGCGCTCGCATACTCTCACACACACACACACCCACACACTCACACATCCTGTCCAGCTCTGCATACTAAACCACTCATCCCTGTAATAGACCTGCATGCCACACTGTAACCACGGCAATAAAAGGGATAATTAGCAACTCACCTGCTCTCTGAAAGGGCACTTTGTAGACTCCCTGGCCTTCATGCAGAGTGCCTGGTGTTCAACCTACCTTCTCTAACTCACACAGCTAGAAGTTATTCTGCTATAAATGGTGCCGTAATGAAGCCAAGCTATTCTTTTTCACAAAGAAGCATTGTAGACCTCTTAACCTTACAGTTGTCTTCACAGTAGACCTCATGACCTCATTATACATCCCGTAACCTCACAGTAGACCTAATCTCAACACAGTAGAACTCATGACCACATTATACATTCCATTACCTCACAGTAGAACTCATGACCACATTATACATCCCATTACGTCACAGTAGAACTCATGACCACATTATACATCCCATTACCTCACAGTAGAACTCATGACCTCATTATACATCCCATTACCTCACAGTAGAACTCATGACCTCATTATACATCCCATTACCTCACAGTAGAACTCATGACCACATTATACATCCCATTACGTCACAGTAGAACTCATGACCACATTATACATCCCATTACCTCACAGAAGAACTCATGACCACATTATACATCCCATTACGTCACAGTAGAACTCATGACCACATTATACATCCCATTACGTCACAGTAGAACTCATGACCTCATTATACATCCCATTACGTCACAGTAGAACTCATGACCTCATTATACATCCCATTACCTCACAGTAGAACTCATGACCTCATTATACATCCCATTACCTCACAGTAGAACTCATGACCTCATTATACATCCCATTACCTCACAGTAGAACTCATGACCTCATTATACATCCCATTACCTCACAGTAGAACTCATGACCACATTATACATCCCATTACGTCACAGTAGAACTCATGACCACATTATACATCCCATTACCTCACAGAAGAACTCATGACCACATTATACATCCCATTACGTCACAGTAGAACTCATGACCACATTATACATCCCATTACGTCACAGTAGAACTCATGACCTCATTATACATCCCATTACGTCACAGTAGAACTCATGACCTCATTATACATCCCATTACCTCACAGTAGAACTCATGACCTCATTATACATCCCATTACCTCACAGTAGAACTCATGACCTCATTATACATCCCATTACCTCACAGTAGAACTCATGACCTCATTATACATCCCATTACCTCACAGTGGACCTCATTTTTTAACTTTATCATTCATGAAAATACTAGAACCCTGAATCCTAATCTTGATCTATGTCATAAGGTCCTTATTGCTTACAGAGATCAACTCTGTTTGTCCTCATTAGAGTAGCAAAATGTGAAACACACACACACACAAACACACACACTGGACATGCACACACAGAGAGAGAGAGATGGAAACAGACACATACACACACACTAATTTCTCCTATATCCCAACCATATTCTGTGGTCATGACCTTGAACTTTAATTTTCCTCAGCCTTCTAGCTGGACTGAAACCAGTGAAAACACAAGCGGAGTTCATTACACAGAGATACACACTCCAGGTCTCCACTTCTCCTTATATCGCACTCAGGGGTACGGTCACTGGGACTCCATCTTGGATACTACTCTCCGTATCGGCTTCCAGCGGTGTAAATGAGCGATGCAGCGGCGGGATGACCGGGTCTCTGTGACCAGAGAGACAACTCAACTGCTCCGACCATTATCCTATGGTTTGCATAAACCATAACGGGTGTGTGAGTGTGTGTGAATGTGCGTTTAACAGCAGTTGAGTTGTGTATTAAAACTATAAGAAACACACAGATTCCAACCCCAACCCAGTTATACGTCAGAGAACCGGCCTCAGTGGTTCAGGGGGTCATGGTTGTGGTCAGATGTGGGATGAATTAACCCTCGCTGGCCAGAATAGAGAGAATGTCTCAGCATACGTCGGCCATTTTGTGTTGGGGTGGGTTTTTAACGAGGAATCCGGTGGGATTTCACGATCCGTGCCAGGAGACAGAGGGTCTTTAGCGGGCTGGCTCTGCATCGACAGCTAGCCCTGAACACCACCCCCACCCACCCACCAACACACACACACAGACACACACACAGACACACACACAGACACACACACACCTAACATGTCCATGTGCGCTCATCATCACAACCAAGATAATTACAGCCTGATCAGGTCATGGTTATCGCCCGGCCTCTCTCACTACTCACCCCATCTCAGTCTTTACCAAATCCCACTGCTCTTAGACCTCTTCAAGTGACATCACTCTTCACTACATCTCACTCTTCACCCAGTCTCACTCTTCACCACGACCTCTTCAACCTTTATTTCTGTCCACCATTCTCTCTCCAACCCTTTTCCAACACTTCCCTATCTGAACAGGATTCACTGTTGTATTTTGCTTACAAAGAGTGTGTGGTTTTATGTAACACCTGTGTGTTTTAGCACAAATACAAACACTCACACACACAAACACACCCAGAGCTCTCTGTTTAAAGTGTGCACAACTCAAGGTTTACAACGGCACGCTGGATTTCATTTGGACACAGCAGTTTCCGTGGCGATCCTCTGACAGACAGGTTCTATTTCCCTTCCTCTGTAGTTAGAGTAGTTAGGATCTGACTTTTATAGCTGACCGCAATCGACAGCCAGCAAACATCCTAGTGGTTAGAACATTAGCTATAATGGCTAAAGGTTCTTGGTTCCGATCCCACAGGGGACATTGTGAATAATCAGTCAGTGTGCCCTCAACCAAGGGCCTTAACTGTGATCGTTCCTCTAAGATGATTTGGATAAATTTATCTCCTATTTTATTTATAGAAATACACATTTTTCTTGCACACAAGAAAACAGAACAGGTTTTCTCTCTTCGATGACCTGTAAGCCTATCTGTAGAAATATATGGGATGTAACTGGCAATAGACTAGATAATCTCAGCCAAACGGCTGGATCTTCGTAACCCAAGGTCAAAACGCCATACTCCAGAAAACGCCGGAAATTGGCAGACAAAGAAAGGCCCTTGGAAGTCGGAACATCAAATCTCCGTTCCATTTTCCTCACCAGAACCAGCGCCAGTAAAACCCCAGAAATCATATGGTTTGTTTTTTTGTTTCTGAACAATGGAAACACTTTGATCAAAGGCTGAAGAACGCTGCCAAGCTAAAGGCTTCAATGTAAAAAGTAACAGGGGGGCGTCTGCGGATGTCTGGGCAGAATGTGTGTTTGTCACTTCATTTCATGTTTTCTAGGACTTCTATAAACTAGTCACCACACCTCACCTCAAACACCACACCTCACCACACCCCTCACACCATACCTCACCTCAAACACCACACCTCACCAGACCACACCTCACCACACACACCAGACACACCTCACCACACACACCAGACCACACCTCACCACACCACACCTCACCAAACCTCACCAGACCACACCTTACCAGACCACACCTCACACACCACACCTTACCAGACCACACCTTACCAGACCACACCTCACACACCACACCTTACCAGACCACACCTTACCAGACCACACCTCACCAGACCACACCACAGAACTGAGCCCTGGTCAAACAACACAGTCCAAAGCCAGGAAAAAGGTAGTGTGTTGTGTATATCCGTGTGTGTGTATTCTCTCTTACTTCATCTCCAGCACCTCCTCCAGGTGTTTCCTGCGTTCAGCTCGTAGTGTTGTCAGGTGGGCCTCCTTCTCTGCCAGGGACTGTTGGGTGGAGGTCAGTCTGGTCTGTACTGAGTCCAGCTCCTGCTTCACCTTCTCCATGGACGCAAGAAGCTCCTCCATCTGACACACAGATAATCACACACATACATACACAGGGAGGAAAAAATAGAAAGGAATTAGAGGAAAGAACCAAAAGAAGAGTACAAAAACAAAATAAATTGAATATAAGCCAAAAAAATAACAGAAGCATGGTATGCAGATAGACAGACAGACAGACAGAGTCAGACAGTCAGACAGACAGACAGTCAGACAGACGAGCAACCATAGGCAATACGGAAGAAGGGAGTGAGGCAAAGAGAGGAATGAAATGAAAGAGTGAGAGAACGAAAGACTGAGGAGGGACAGAGAAAAAAAGGTAGAGAATCAATGACATCCCAATACTCCAAACTAGACGGACAAATACGGATCCACAGACAATGTGTGTGTGTGTGTTACCGCATCAGTGAACACGTTATCATGTTTTCGATAATCACTTGGGTTAACAACATCTTGGTGGCATGGGATTCAACCCAGCAACCATGTGGTCTACAGTCCGATGCTTAAACCACTAAGCTACTCCACCATCACTCTCTTTGTCTCTCTCCCTGTCTCTCCTCCTTGTCACTCTCCCTGTCTCAACACTCTCTCTTTCTCACTCTTTCTCTCCACTTTGTCTCTCACCCAGTCTCTCAGTCTGTCTCTCTGTCTGTCTGACTGTCTTTCTGTCTGTCTCTCCCTGTCTCTTTCCCTGTCTCTCCACTCTCTCCACTCTCCCTGTCTCTCTCCACTCTCCCTGTCTCTCTCCCCTCTCCCCGTCTCTCCACTCTCCCCTCTCCCCACTCTCCCCGTCTCCCCACTCTCCCTCTCTCTCCACTCTCCCCGTCTCTCCCCGTCTCTCCACTCTCCCTCTCTCTCCACTCTCCCCGTCTCTCCACTCTCCCCGTCTCTCCACTCTCCCTGTCTCTCCTCCCTCCCTGTCTCTCCTCCCTCACTGTCTCTCCACTCTCCCTTTCTCTCCACTCTCCCTGTCTCTCCTCTCTCCCTGTCTCTCCTCTCTCCCTGTCTCTCCACTCTCCACTTTGTCACGCTGTTAGTAACCAAAGTAGAATAGGAGAGAGGTTTAGGGAATAAATCACATCCCTGTCAGGTTTATGTGTTGGACAGAGGGCGGCGTCAGGAGGAGTTTGGTTCTGTGTGTTCCTTACATACTTCAGAATGCTGTGGTTCACCCAGAGAGAGGCGGAGAAGAGAGATGGGAGAAGGGTAGAGGAGAGAGAAGGGAGAGAAGAAGGATGGAGAGATAGAGAAGGGTGGAGAGAGAGGAGAGGGGTGGAGAGGAAAGGAGAAGGGGGCGGAGGAGAGAGGGGAGCAGAAGGGGTGAGAGAGAGAAGAGTGGAGAGAGAGAGGAAAGGAGAAAGGTGGAGAGAGAGAGAGAAGAGGAAAAGAGAAGGATGGAAGTGAAAGGGGCAAAAAGGATAGAGGAAAGAGGAGAAAGGTGGAGAGCACACGAGAGACCTCTGCAGCCAGTGATTCTGCTGTGTCTAGGTGATCAAGCAGCCCTATATCGTTCTCTTCTCGTTGTCCTTCATCTCCAGTACCACCCCCACTGCTCTCCCCTCCTGCGGCTTGTATGTCCTCCAGTGAAGTGGTTCATAGGAGCTCCTCTCAGCCCAACACCTACACCCGCTCTGGGGAGAAAGGGGCTGGGAGCCAGGCCAACTCCCTGGGGCCTGGGTCTCTTTACATGGTGGTAGATATATAGCACTAATACGTACTGGAAACATTCCTGCTCCCCCGTTCTCTCTCTCTAATTCTTCTTGCCTCCCTCACCCCCGGCCATCCCTCTATCTTTCCCAATCTCTGTCAATGTCAGGACACAGTTGTTTTGGCCCAGTTAACTCAATCCATGTGCTGTATGACTGTAATAGTAATTACCTCACCTACTGTATGACTGTAATAGTAATTACCTCACCTACTGTATGACTGTAATAGTAATTACCTCACCTACTGTATGACTGTAACAGTAATTACCTCACCTACTGTATGACTGTAATAGTAATTACCTCACCTACTGTATGACTGTAATAGTAATTACCTAACCTACTGTATGACTGTAACAGTAATTACCTCACCTACTGTATGACTGCAACAGTAATAACCTCACCTACTGTATGACTGTAATAGTAATTACCTCACCTACCTGATGACTAGTACAGTAATAACTTAACCTACTGTATGACTGGTACAGTAGTAACCTCACCTACCTGAACCTATTCTGGCCACAGCTCTGGGATCTGCCCTGTAGTTCTGCCCAGACTCTTACAGACACACATCCAGAACCCCTTGGGCATGTGATTGGAGCCAACCGGGTGCATGAGGACTGATATATAGTGCTGCCCTCTGCTGGCTTGTGTCTGCATGGCATCGAGGCAGGAGAAGTTCTCAGCACAGGGCCAGGCCTCCCCTAATAACTCACTGAGATAATGTAGAGCTCAGGGCCCCAGCCAAGCTCTAGGAAACCTTGCACACAGATTTATGTTCCTCATGTCTCCCTACTCTCTTTCTTCACGTTCTCCTCCGATCTTGCTCCTCCTTGTCTTCACCTCCTCTTCCTCTGATGTCCCTCCTCTTTCTTCACCGCCTATTCTGGTTTCCATCGTCTATAAGTCTCTCCTCTGTTTCCTCTGGTGTCCCTCCAACACCACCTCCTTCCTCTCTCCACCACCTCCTTCCTCTCTCTCCACCACCTCCTTCCTCTCTCTCCACCACCTCCTTCCTCTCTCTCCACCACCTCCTTCCTCTCTCTCCACCACCTCCTTCCTCTCTCTCCACCACCTCCTTCCTCTCCCCACCACCTCCTTCCTCTCTCTCCACCACCTCCTTCCTCTCCCCACCACCTCCTTCCTCTCTCTCCACCACCTCCTTCCTCTCTCCACCACCTCCTTCCTCTCTCTCCACCACCTCCTTCCTCTTTCTCCACCACCTCCTTCCTCTCTCTCCACCACCTCCTTCCTCTCCCCACCACCTCCTTCCTCTCTCTCCACCACCTCCTTCCTCTCTCCACCACCTCCTTCCTCTCTCTCCACCACCTCCTTCCTCTCTCTCCACCACCTCCTTCCTCTCTCCACCACATCCTTCCTCTCTCTCCACCACCTCTTTCCTCTCTCTCCACCACCTCCTTCCTCTCTCTCCCCACGCCCTCCTTGTTTAACCTATTTCTACGCCGTCTTATCCTCTATGTCTTGTTTCTTCAACTTGCTCCCCTTTTACCCCACATACCTTTATTCTTTTCCATATATTCATAGACACTTTAAAGACACACATTATGACACACACACACACTCTCCTTCTTTCTTTTTACACTTCCTGACTGCAGTGGTTAGAATTGCCCGTTTCGACACAGGTTTCTTTCATTTTCCAGCTAAAACAGATTCTCTCGAAATTGAATCTAGTTGGAGGTGAAGAGGTCACATCTTCAACAAATAAATCTCTAGATATGTCTATGACCCTGAGAGACGTTGCCGTGGCGGCGTTTCTAAGACAACCATGCAGCCTACATAGGTCACTACATCTACCAGGGCCCACGGCGCCCACAGATACAAGAGTGCAGTTTGGAACCAGACCAGGGCACTCGGTGACCACAGAGACCAGGGTGCCGTTTGGAACCAGGCCTGAGGACATATTAAAGCAATAAAAAGGCAACATTACACCACCAACACCTCACGTGTGGAGGAGAACCACCGGGAGAAGCACGCAAGGCCCCATGTCTCCCCCAGGAGGAGAAGCCTGTCCTGGGGGAAGGAGAGGGAACAGCTGCCTATTTGACTGGGGACTCTGGGGGAGTGTGAACTCTTTTGTCCCAGTTGGAAGCCCCGATACAGTGATGAACGGACAGAAAGACAATGGGACAGTATGACAACGGGACAGTAAGACAATGGGACAGTAAGACAATGGGACAGTAAGACATTGGGACAGTAAGACAGTAAGACAATGGGACAGTATGACAACGGGACAGTAAGACAATGGGACAGTAAGACAATGGGACAGTAAGACAATGGGACAGTATGACAACAGGACAGTATGACAACAGGACAGTAAGACAATGGGACAGTAAGACAATGGGACAGTAAGACAATGGGACAGTAAGATAGCAAGACAGTAAGACAATGGGACAGTAGGACAATGGGACAGTAAGACAATGGGACATTAAGACAATGGGACAGTGGGACAGTAAGCCAATGGGACAGTAAGACAATGGGACAGTAAGACAATGGGGCAGTAAGACAATGGGACAGTAAGACAATGGGACAGTAAGACAGTGGGACAATGGGACAGTAAGACAATGGGACAGTAAGACAATGGGACAGTGGGACAGTAAGACAATGGGACAGTAAGACAATGGGGCAGTAAGACAATGGGACAGTAAGACAATGGGACAGTAAGACAGTGGGACAATGGGACAGTAAGACAATGGGACAGTAAGACAATGGGACAGTGGGACAGTAAGACAATGGGACAGTAAGACAATGGGGCAGTAAGACAATGGGACAGTAAGACAGTGGGACAATGGGACAGTAAGACAATGGGACAGTAAGACAATGGGACAGTAAGACAATGGGACAGTGGGACAGTAAGACAATGGGACAGTAAGACAATGGGACAGTAAGACAATGGGACAGTAAGACAATGGGACAGTAAGACAATGGGACAGTAAGACAATGGGACAGTAAGACAATGGGACAGTAAGACAATGGGACAGTAAGACAATGGGACAGTGGGACACTAAGGGTCTTAGTTATAACTGTAATCACACACACTGGATTCAGGGGATTTATTAGGCGGCAAGAGTCTTACTCAGCTGTTAGGTTAGCCAGATTACTGGCCCCGGATTACTGGCCCCGGATTACTGGCCCCGGATTACTGGCCCCGGATTACAACCTGAGGGGTGTGAGGTGTTTATTTTGGGCTGTTTCACATGGTGCAGTGTGTGAACTTGTGAGATGTGTGTGTATGTACACCTTTCCACATTTGCTTTCTGACAGGGTGAGTAAATGTTTGTCACATTGTAAAAAGCTGTTCTATATTATGACACCTCTGGGTGTGAAGTACTGGTCCCACTGGGCGAGACAGTGTGAAACACTTGACACACAAACATCCCTGCTGAATACTGCACATGTTACTGCTTCACAACCCATGACGAGGAATGTAATGTCAACTCAAGACGTTTTTATCAGGAGCAAATTACAAAAAGGCTACGACTGTTATTAACAGATAATAAAATGTGCATGGATATTAGCAGAGCTTTAGCCCTGTTGTGATCAGTGACAATTATAAATACAATATATATGTGATTTCAAAATATGCAGGAACACAGAAAGTAAGAAAAGCTTCCTGTTTCTTTTCTCCATTACTTTCTTTACTGGCCACCGTTCTTCTCTGTCTGCCTTTCTCTTGTGTTTATTTTCTTGCCATGTTGTTGTGCTTTTAAGGCGGAGTCACCTGCCCAACTGGGACAAATTGGGATGGATACTGTTCCGTTCCAATATGGGATGCAAAATGAGTTCTTTTTCCAGGCTATTGGAA